TTTCCCAGTGGTCTAACTCTAAGCAGATCCGTGTGCGTGTGTGTGTGTGTGTCCTGTCTCCACAGCAACATCAGGTCCACAGCAGTCACAGGCTTGGCCACGCCTCCTATTGTAATGACGGTGAGCTCATGTCTGTTGGCTGTTGGGGCTGCTTCCAGTCATTAGGACAACAAGGGCTTGACTATCGCTAGCACATTCCACCTGCAGAGCCACACAGGCCTGTAATTACACCACTTTGTTTGTTCAATGGGAGGTCTCTGCAGGTCACATGGTGCACTGATGGGTGCGCGTGCATGCATGTGTGTCCTACAATAGGTACAGTTTGTCATTACCTTTTATTTACCCAGCCCTATAAATAGCCACTTCACTGTCAGCAGCATTGAGCCGTCCTTTTTGTCATCCTTGTATTTTTTCAAGTGTGACCTGTATTTCCTGTGATGGGAAAGCCTGTGACTCACCCATATCTTCCTCTCTCCCCCTCCCTACAAGTACACTGTGGCACACCAGATAAACCAGCCACAACTAAACACTTTAACCCCACGGGCACCTGAAATTTAAAAGCAAACTCTGCTTAAAAAGAAAAGAGAGAAAAAACCCTGAATCCTATGGTTGTAAGACGCTTTGTATTTGCCTAACTAAAAGCTTTTCGCCAAATACGGGGTGTTTGCACAGGGAGATCACATCAATCTTGTGCCAGTTGCGGGCAAATATTGTATCTGCGAGGAGAGTTACGATGAATCCCATAAATGGAGCGCGACCGCTCATCTCTCATTATCTCGTATTCTCTCCTCTCATCAGCCCGTTGCAGAAGCGCCAAACCTCAGTTACAACTACCAACAAGCCCTGACCTAGTTCCTCTGAAGCACGCCGGGAGCAGAGACGTGTGAGGAAGGCGCTCCTGTCCGAGTCTGCACCTCTGTTTCCATTCCAGGTGAACAGCTGGAAATGGGAGATGTTCGAGGAGCTGTTTGCTCGTGACAGGTTAAAGAGATTACAGTGTCTGCCGTGCGCTGCAGCATTTAGGGGAGAGTTGATGTGATCACAGAAGAGAAAGTCAGACATTATATGGGGTGGACAGCGACCTTCATTTACTAATTGTTCTTATTTTTCTTCTGTTTTCTTGCTTTATATCGATCGGATCAGTGACAAAATTTAGGAGGCAAACGCTGGTCTAGCCGTGACTCAGTTCATGTCAAAGTCCATGTACGTTTCTGCAGACTGACACGTCACGCCCGACAATGAGGATATTCAACAGTGTGACATGGGATCAAAGCTTTCTGAAACTGCAGAAGTGACTAAGCTTTAATAACTGTTGTTGTTTTGGCAGGAGAAAAGGTCAAGACCACAAAGTCGGGGTTTCTGAAACCATGAATGTTTGCCTTTAGAAAGCCCAAAGCTGAATCCTTGACCTTGGAAACAGCAGGGGAGAAAAACATCGGACCACATTTAGTAGCTTTTTACACAGATACTAAAGGTGGTGGAACAGTTTCAAAAGCGTGGCATGAGCTATTTTCTTAGCTGCTATAGAGTTGAAACAAAACGCGATGAAATATAAGTATTTTTTTTAGGTTAAAACAAAATCTTGCTGTAAGAATATAGGCCTTTAAATGTTACGTAAAGTATTTGAAAGTTGAGAGAAATACATGTCTTAGGTGCACCTTGGTAGTAGTGGGTTAGAACCTTTTTCCTTCAGGACTACCTTCATTCTTTGTGGCATAGATTCAACAAGATGCTGGAAACGTTCAGGGATTTTGGTCCACGTTGACATGATAGCATCATCTGTAATGTCAGTCTTCCCGTCTGCAAACAGCAAGCCCAGCACAAACATGCTCTGTTGGATCTGGTGACTGTGGAGGTTACTTAAGTAAAGAGACCTCATTGTCCTGTTTAAGAAACCAGTTCGACTTTTTTGACTTAGCGCGCTATCCTGCTGGCAGCAGCCATCACAACATGGCTACACCCTTACACCACGAGCAGCCTGAACCATTAGTACAATTCAGAATGGATCCATGCTTTCATGTTGCCAAATCTTTACTCTACCCGGATGTTGCAGCAGAAATTGAGACTCAACAGACCAGGCGACATTTTTCTAAACTTCTGTTGTCCAATTTTGCTGAATCTGTGCAAACTGTAGCTTCAAGTTTTCTCTCCCTAGCTAACAGGAGCAGCGTGTGGTCTTCTGCTTTTTGTAACCAATCAGCTTCAGAGTTCAACATGTTGTGCATTCACAGATGCTCTTCTGCATAGGAGTGGTTATTCGACCGTCTCATTCCTATCAGCTCAAAGCAGTCTGGCCGTTCTGCTCTGACCTCTGACATCAACAAGGTATTTTCTCCCAGAGAACCGCCCCTCATTCTCTATAAACAGAGATGGTTGGGTGGGAAAATGCCAGAAGATCACCAGTTTTTGGAACACTTGCACTAATAAAGCAACTTAAATCACTCATTGTGATGCTCGGTTTAAACTTCAGCACATCATCTTGACCATGTGTAGATGCCTAAAAGCACCGACTTATTGCTACGTGTTTGCCTGATTAGACATTTGCATTAACAAGCAGTTGAACAAGGGTATCAATCAAAGTGTCCATTGAGTAGATCCTTCTCGAAGAGAATCTCCCAGAACCCTGTGACAAAAAAACAACACGGAATAAGCACAGCAATGATATTAGTCGGCCTGCATCAATTTGTAAAGAAATAAAAAGGTGTAAACATGACAAGAAGTTCTTTACGGTTCAGCTTCATATTTAGTAGATACATCTGATCCATACAACATAATGAATGAACTCATGTCCCCAAATTCTTTAAACTATCGACTTGTATTTTTTCAGCGACTTAAAGTGTCCGTCCGTCCTTCGTCTTCATGAAACCTTCATTCTGCTCAAGAATGAAAGTTAAACATAGAAAACAAGAAGGAAGCAGTGGAGTGAAAACAGACTGAAAGTATTTATGCGGCACCACAGGCTGTATCTTTGAACATGTCTAGGAGGGGACTACTTTGCATCCAATGCGTAACATTGTTGTCATGTTTTGTCTCTTTACCGGAATGTTAGATGTCATCCTGTCAAAAGCTGCCAGAGTGGAAAAATGCCTCCACTGTAGTTTAAGTTTTTCTTTTCCAAAAG